ATCTGTTTTCAAATAACTAGTGAATAAGCACCTCCATTAATTAAAAAAATGGTGCTTATTTTCAGAGTTTTACGGTATTAATAATCTTCGGACTTTCGATGTACGTATTTGTATTGCTGACATAACTGCAGCAAAAAACGTTAAGATGATTGGGTATCTACGTACCGGCAATTCGGCTTGCAGAGTAAGGGATAAATTACCGAAATTTGGTTTCATCAAAGCGCATAGAAGTATAATTCGCTCGGACAAAAAAAGATCATCACCAATCATATTTATCTTAATTTCAGCCAATCAAAACGAGCTTCTGCTATTTCTGCTATTGATAATATTATCGAACTAGTATTTTGTTCGCTATTTCGCAAAAGTAGATCCAATTACTTATTTAGGATATTTTGTCAAGTCAGTTCCTACTCATGCGAAATAAAATACTCGTATTAGGTCGTCGTGGTGTGGGAAAATTATCGATCATAAAGCGTATATACATATTCCTTTACTAAACATAATTTTGTGATTTTCGTTTGTCACTTTTACCGCTGCTAATTAAAGAAATAATTTTTAAATGGTTAAGAACTTTTATCAATTACAAATCAATCGATTATAGATGACATTTCTAAGGGTTTTGAAGATCATTCAGGGGAGAAAGTTCCATGGAAAATAGTGACCAAATATTATACAGCACAAGTAGAATTTTGGATTGATGAAACTGTACAAAAAGATTTAGTAGACACTGAAGTGATCAAAGGATATGAGAATGAAGAAAACGGCATTGGTAATGTTGTTGATGCGGTTTTATTTGTATTTAGAAAAGATCAGGTATTCAATCGGCGGAGTATTTTCACCACCTACCCCTACGGTATTTAAATTTACTTCTTTTATGGTAATCGATAATGTGATAGCCATCGACATTCGATGATATCCACGCGTATCTACCATTTATACGAACATATGAGCCGTCGATAATTCTTGCAATCGGTACGGGCAAGAACGATACAAATGATAATGTAAATAGATTACATGTGAGTGAAGATACGTTCGAGAGTTGGTGTTTAGAGAACGGATTCGAATATGTCGACGCGGAAGAAGAAGAGCGAGAAGAAAATGATGGTAAGGTTATGTAAACTATTGAGTACACAGTGATTCTTGATATAATGGAGTCTCGACATAACAAAGACTAAGTAAAATCTTTATATAATGGATCAAAGTTCAGATCACACCATAATAAATTCAGCTTGATATAATGGATTTACTAATAAATTCACAATATTGCAGATTTTAGTTAATTTATCTCTAATTGCCCAAACAATACGTTATATCAAGAGTCACCGTGTAATACGTGTGTTTAACTATTTATATTAAATATATTATACAAGTAAAAGAACGTGTCGGCCTAAATCGAGTTCTGGAAGCTTTGCAATCAAATATGTGGGAAGGAATGGTTCGCGAACCTCTCAATGATAATGATTCACATGTGGAGGAACATGAGAACTATCAAGAGTTGTATGAAGGCATAAAATCATTTTTTTTTATGTATATTATTTGTTATTTTTTTTTTAAAATAATGTTTATTGTGCTTATTATATTTGTGTCACACGTTTCAGCCATTACGCAGTTGAAGCTTGACCAAAAAGATGACAAAGATGATCTGATGTCGCAATTACATGACCACAATTCTGCACCCTTTGATAACGAGGATGATGAATTCTTCAAAGATGGTAGGATGTATATTTTAATTTTTGGTTTTTTATAATCAATTATCGCATACTTATGATTTCATTCATATTTTTATAGTATTGCCTTCTCAAAAAGAAATAGAATCTATGTATAACCACATTTTTGGTGATTTTGACGACGAAGATGGACTAGACAAAGTTCTAACTAGATTGAATTCTTTGAGAGGTAACTTGCAATCTTTTATTATTACGCCACATTTATTTCTAGTTGTTTATTGTTATTTTTCTTTTTGGTGGAAAGAACGCGGCAGAACTTTATCGGATAAAGAACGGAGAAAATTGGCTGCAAGTGTAGCATGTTCTTTTGGATTGCATGTAGAAGATGAATAAAGCGACTTTTAAGAGTATGCTGTTATATTAGTATGTTAATTTTTATATATTAAATATATATTTGTATTTAATGTAATTTTGTTTTTTATGATTAACTTATATTTTAACTATTGTATTCAGATAATATTTCAAATTTATGTATATTTAATTTTGAATTGTTTAATCTTTATTCCAGGCAAATTTGTCTGGAATTTTGAAAAGTATTTATGATTTTTTAAATAAAATTAAAAATTACTAATAATATAGAGTATATTTTATAAATACAATATTTTATTTCTATAAGCTTTATTATAAAAAATCTTCAATTTTACTAGAAATCTTTAGTGTAATAAAAGTTTAAAGCTCTTATTTTACTTTTTAAAATTTTTATTCTGGTATGTAGTGATATAGTGAAGTGGTAGAGTTTTCACACCCCAAGTTAATTTGGTTATAAGTATAAGTTCAAATTCCACTAGTGATGTTTTGGACAATTTACTTGTGTCATGGTAACAACTTATTCTAAATTGGGCTGGAATCATATATCTGTAAACTAGAGCACACCAATGCTTTTGGGTGCTGGAAAACATGGATATATTTGTATTATTGCACAAAGAAATACAAACTAGTATAGGCAGTGCAAGTTCAAAATAAGGTGCCCTAGATCAAACATTATTAAGATCTACTTATAGTAGCCTGAGAGAACCAAAATTGGCTTGGCAAATTCCAATTAAGAAAGTAACAGATAGATTTAACCAGGTGCTACTTGATACCACAGGACAGGTCTGACTAAATCCCAAAAATTGAAGTAGTTGTACAATAAAGATCTTTTAGGCAAAAGAGATCTACCAACCAGGCCACTAAAGTCACTAGAGCTGTTCTAATTGTACTTTTCTTAAGGGTGACTAGTAGAAGATTCTAAAATGAAATTTCAGAATATACTATAAAAACATGGACCAAGGATTAGGAGACCTTCAAACTTGAGCTTAGAAAACTCAGATCTGGGCAAATCAATCCTTCTGGGCCATCTGAATTTGGAAGAATAACAATACCAAAAGGAATAAGATGTAGAAAGTAATAGAATATAGTATAGGGATTTGTGAATCTTAAAAAGAAAGAAGTAGATAATAGTAGAAGTTCAAAGTTAAGTTCTGATTCCAAGTGCATAAGTTAAGCTATAGTATAAGTTACTAAAGTCTAGGTAAATATATTGTGAAAATATACTACTCTAGCAGGTTTACCTTGAGGATAAATAAGGACTATTGATACTGTTTTAAGTCTGGTTGTTAGTCTAGTAATATTGTATAGACCTATAACATCCTGGTACATATAGTAAGATTACACCTAGGTTATAAATTTTACTCAGTGGAAGTAAAGATATGATTAGAGAGTTTAAATAGATACTTCACATAGTGAGGTGCAGGTATGGCAGATAGTGTAAAACCTTAGCATAGCATGAGCAGACTACTTAAATTATGCACCAAAAATGCATGTATGGCTTGATATACTCTTATTGCAACCAAAATAATACTTATAATAATAAATCACTATTAACAAAGAGGTCACCTTAACATTGAAAAAAAAAATTTATTTCTAATACAAGTTATAATTTTTATAAGTAAATCATTAAAAATTAGTGCTCAGCACAATCAAACAAAAATTTGACAGTCAAATACTTGTGATTAAAACAATCACAAATTAACCAATACTACCTCTTAATTGGTAGAGATTTGCAGACAAATTTGCCTGCATAATTACTATAAATATGTCTCTGATCTACTTTTTTAATTA